CAGGTCTTACATTTCCATCTTCTTTTGGAACTGTGAGCTGAATGCTTATGAAGTAGGAATTTTTAAGATTTTTTGAAATGTAGACATAGGTCCTATTTTAGTTTGCAGTCTTTTAGAGGGCACCTTTCAATTTCTTGCTAAGGGTTTAATTCCTTTTAGAATTAATGGGGAAAATATGTACTTAAGTATTTATTTAGTGAAATGAGAAAGTTACTGCTGTTTTTTCCCTTAGCTTGTTTACACCCATTTCTTGCTAGTTAGAGTTGTATTGCTTGTATTATGTGTTTTACCCTCATATTCCCTTTGCTGAACCTGTACCCCTACTTTCAGGAAAGCGTGCCTCTTTTCTGGTCTCTCTGAAAAGTTGAGGCAGGGCCCATGGGGGATATTTTTCACCAGGTGTTGCTGGCTCCTTGTTCACAGGCTACTTGCATTGCATTTAGCCTGCAGGAACAGCCCTCCTCCAAGGGATCCTTATTCAGCAGGTCTAAGGCTGTGCTGCTGCTTGTTCTCCTCTCACTTGTTGGCACAGAAGCAGCTGGGTCCATGTTTAAAGCTCTTTCCATGGTTGGATTGATCACAGTATGTTTGGTGCTAGCCATATCTTCTGGATTTACTTAATATTAAGTGACTATAAAGTGTAGTCACTTTAGCTAATTGTTATAATTTATGTAATTTGCCTTTCTGTGATTATTAATTTTCTACTTATAGACTTGAAACTTAGAATATCCTTAAGGTCTATATCTCTAAATTCATCTTGAAAATTATTCACATGTGTACCCACAGTGTTCTTGAAAGTCTGACCAATAAGTGCGATTTTAACTCCTGATTTTTCATAACTTGTGTCTCCAACCTTGAAGGCATACCAATACTGTCTTCACCTGTAGAGCCCACCTGCTTCCTATCCCCATGAAGGACTCCTTATGGTGGCTGCAGATCTTACCATAGTTTCTTTTCCACTGCCACCCTAGCCCTGGTTATTTCAGCCGTGAAGTTCAAGGGATACCATTCCTATTACCTTGGCTAGAAGAGATATTTTCCTGGAGTTCCAAACTGAAACTCAAATACATCTACCCACAGAAACAATATTGTAAGTTGACAGTTGACTGTAGTCAAAATAGTTCCTCTGTTAGTCCAGGAATTGCAATAGGTCCCTGTATATAGGCATGTGCAGAAGGTCCTACTAACCTAACCACCAATATTTATAACATGTTTCTATGGGATAATTTATTCTGAGTTTCAACTAAACAATGAACCTTGGAATATGCCTCTTTTGTAAATTGGAGACCGCCTATATTAGAATTCTAGTAACTTGCATTCTTTAAGTCTGCAGTAACTAGGCAGCAGAGTGAAGTGGCCTAAGAGTGTGTTGGGAAGTCGTGGAGAAGCTGATCTGGGATGAAAATCCTGTAACTGATCCCCAAATAGCTTGTATCCAGATAATCTAGATTGAAATGAACATGCAGAAGTTGTCCAGGATCTGCTAGTGAAGGGGAGGTGTGAAACAATGGAGTTGACCTTTGAGGACATGGAGGTTTACAAGTATTATCCATTTCCCTTACAGATTCTTTTGACTAGTCTGTCACAAAACTTGTCACCACGGGGAGAAGCACATTTGCTCTTATGATCTATGAAGGAAACAATAGCCTGGCATGATTGGTGTTATAAAGACTAGCAGCAATTATTGCTGGTTTTCACCCTTGGGAGACAGCACTTAGGTTTTATCAAATTCTAGATGATCATCCGCCTATATATTCACAGAGCACTAAAAGGTATGACGATCTCCTTAATGAAAGAAAAAAATTTACATATAAGCCAGAACCAATGCTAAGCTACTTAAAACAATTGCGTTATTCTATCTTCATCTTTGAGGTACATGCTTTCATTTCTCTTCATTTCCTTTCATTTGTTTGCCTTCATGCTTTACCTAGTTGTCCCTGCTAGCAAGATCACTACTGGATTTGTGGGGATAGCATGTTGACTAATAAACACAGTGAGGAACTTTCAAAAGAACTTGACAAACATTTTTTTTAATTTTGGGAAAAATTGGCATTGAAAAGATAACTAAGGGAGTAAGATTAGGGAGAATGAAAAGAAATGAGGGAATAACTGGAGATATTGTTACAGTTTTGACTTTCCCTAGCAGGGGAAACATTGCTGTTTTGGACTTCAAAATGTAATAGAGGCATGTTTATGATTCACATAAAGAGGCCTGGAATGCCCTCGAGCAACTGCCTTCTTGGCTCACCCAACAAATTTCCAGGGATATTGAAGTCATGTGTGCTTTATTAGTATATTAAAGATTAATGTTCAGGTTTATATCATTATACAAATTGAAACAGAAAAGTTTACTTCATTTGTTTTTGAGAAGAAAATGATACCTGCCAGACCTTGGCGGAAGGAGTAGAAAAATATTTTGACTCATCAGAATCCATTGAGGTTTTCTCTTTTATAGAGAAAAATTACTTCAAGAACATACTTCCCATTAAAATGAATAGAATTAACTTGTCATTAAAGAGATCTTTGATTAATCAGAATATAAGAATTTGCCCATTAGGTAATTATTTATAACCTTTATCAAGTGGAAATAATACCTCAAAAACAGACCACGTTATTGAAAGCATCACCATTTCTGGTTGTGGCATGATAGGAAGATGAACAGGGGGCAGAGATACGGTATGATTGTCAGCTATTTGCTGTTCATTTTCAGATTTTTTTTTGATGGAGTTTTAATCCTGAGTTACTTTCCTTTGCCACCCAGCAAGCTTCTGAATTATGCTGTTCTTTGGAATGTGCTCAGGGATTGTAAACTCATTCTAATATTGGCCTAAGTAAAACAGGATTATAAAAGTAAATCTGTGGCTAAAAGTCCCATCATGTATTTCAAAAACAAGTTAAATTATTTTTGGATTATCTTGTTTTGGATAGCATTAGTCCCTTCTGCTACCCTGGTTAACCAAGAGTTGACAAATATATTTTGTAAAGTAAACTTGAAGTCACACCATTATTTGCTACATCATCAAGCATTCACTCAATACTGGCGTAAGTGTTTTAAGAAAGCAATTGAAATGTAAGTCAAAATTCTAGTAGCACTTCTGTCATTTTTTTAAGTATTCTCAAATTTTAACGATTTATTTTTATTTACTTATGTGTACAAGAATTGGGGTGTAGGGCCTCCCCTGGTGGCACAGCGGTTGAGCACTGGGCAGCGCCGGTTCGATCCCCGGCTGCTCCCAGCCACTGGAGGAGGGTCCCACATGGCACACAGACCTCTCCTGCTGCCCACTGCTCCCCTCAGCAGTGTACTTCGGTCCTTCTGCCTGCTCTGCTCCCCGCTCTGGCTCTGGTGAATTCTCTCACCCTCCCACGCTTCTGACTGTACCCAGTGCTTATATAAATAAATAAATAAATCTTTAAAAAAAAACAAAAACAACATAACAAACTAATTTGGGTGGGCTGCACTTCTAACCTTAAATTTCTGATAAAAACATCCAGCTAATAGTGTCTACACATTCTATGATGCTACGCTAAGCTACATTTTCAGGAGCCGACTGAGTTGCCAATATGTACTGTCACTGCTGACCAATGGCTATCACAGTCACCTTTCATCAAGTGTAGATAGAGACATAGAATCTAAACTTTCTTAAACCCAGTGCTGACAGAATAACTTAATACTTCTACTAATCTAAGCTGTTTAATTTTGAAAAAAATTTTAAGATGAGGAATGACCCTCTAAAATGAATGGGAACTAATAACCATAAATAAGTAAGGTTGGAGGAGAATAGAAGCCTTTGATGCTTCATCCAGCTACAGGTTTGTTATATTTTTAAAACCTCTGATGAAAGAATGATAGGTAAAATGTACACCACTGTTTAAAATAAGGTCTTCATTGCCAACACTTTGGCCTCCCCGGTGGCGCAGCGGTTGAGCGCTGGGTTGCGAACCTGCCCGCGGCCTCTGCGGCGCCGGTTCGATCCCCAGCTGCTCCCCGGCCACCGGAGGAGGGTCCCGCATGGCGCGCAGACCTCTCCTGCCGCCCGCTGCTCCCCTCAGCAGTGTACTTCGGTCCTTCTGCCTGCTCTGCTCCCCGCTCTGGCTCTGGTGAATTCTCTCACCCTCCCGCGCTTCTGACTGTACCCAGTGCATGTATAAACAAAAACAAACAAACAAACAGATAAATAAATAAATAAACATGCCTCTATAAAAAAAAAAAAAATTAAAAAAAAAAAAATTAAAAAAAATAAAATAAGGTCTTCACTTAAAGCCTACTCTGGGGGATGTTTTTCATGGATTATTTTAGATTGGCAAAATGAAATAGAATACTTGGTACTTTGATGTGAACTAATCTGTAAGTAACACTAGCATCCCATAATCAATTTGCTGACCATTTATCCTCATCCCTTCTCCAGTCCAGCGCCTTCTTCAATGTACCAGACCCCCTTCCTCTGCCCCACTCCCGATTATGCACCCTCTCAATAACCAGAAGACCAAGAGAGTAATACCAGAACTTCTTTTTATTAGACAGATGGGGATTTCAATCAAATCTCTTTTGCAGGTATGACTTTGCTCTTTTAGAAGAAATTCAGTGATTGAGTATGGAGACTATCACCAAGGCTGTGCTTAAGTCCTTTGACTTGTGCCATATAATCTGGTGAAAGCATAATCAAGCATGTAGGAGAAGAAAAAAATTCTCTTCACCTCACTTGCTGCTCCCACTGGGAGGAAATAGAACAGTGCATGCACGTGCAGAGCTGCTCACCACCAGAAATGCCAGTGGCAGTCAGCAAAAGGAGTAACTGTCCTTATGTTTTTGCTGGGCTTGTGCTGGTGTTTGTCATAGGCACCTGGCACAGTTAGGCACATCCATGCCAAGGCAGTCTCCTCAATATGGCTCTCAAAAACCACTAGTTTGATTTTGTTTTATTTTAGAACAAAGTGGGAATGGAAATGCTGCACACTTTAATTCTGAAAGTAACGTTTGTTTTGTCATTTTTTTCTAGAGTGATTATATTGCCACAAAAAAAGCACATTTTAGAAGAAAAGTGATGCTTAAGGAATTTCATCTTTGTCTACTCCAGATCTGCCTAAGAGAAAGAAGATTCAGAGGCTTCTGAATAGAAAGCAACCTGAATTTTTGAAAGTGTTCAAGTGGATGCTGGCAGTTAAATGATCCTGTTTCACAGATCATTCTACTGCTGCCTTATGGATTCAGTGATTTTGGATTAAGAAATTCACGCTGTTCGTTGTTTTTGTTTTCTGGTGTCTCTAATCTGTCTCTTTGAAGGAGAAGATATACTCAAAGTGAACATTTTATGACTGTTTCCTTCCCCTCTTTAAAAAATGTTATTTACATGTGTGTAAATGTGGCTAGTACTAATTTTACTGGTGTATAATACTTACATTAATTTTGAAGGTGAAACTCCTTTGAACAAGAAAAGATAAAGGAAAAGTTTATGTTCATGAGAAGGTAGGTATGATCTGGAATCTGTTTTTCTGAGGAGTACATACACAAAACATTTCTTGATCAAGGAATTACTTGTCAGCTGAACTGATATCTTGATGGGACATCTACATTTTAAAGGCAGGACCAAAGGGCAGATTACCTCAGTTTTTGCTCATTAACAAAACTGCAACATTCTGTCCACATTAAATGTCAACTAAACGGATACCTTAATTGAGCATTTCCAACATTTTAAAGCAGAACAGAAACAGATTTGTTCATCTACAATGCCACGATGTTCTGCTTGCAAATCAATTGAGCATTTCCAAAGCCATCATTATTATTTTGAAACCTACACATTCCCTGTAAAAGAAGCAAAGTTCTTCTAAAGTTTCTCCCCAGAGCCCCTCTCTGCCACTCTGGGCCTCTCCTTTTCACCCTCCGCTCTCCCTTGCTTCCTGGCTCTCGCCATGACTCGCACTCTTCCTCCTCGGCCCAGGCCTCCTATGAAGAGATCAGTTTCCCATGCTCCAGACATTAATGTGTGCATATCAGTCAGTATTCTGACTAAAACCTAAGCCAAAAGGAACCTCTTATAAGGCCTTGTTTCCTTTTGAACAATGAGCTGATATAAGATGTACCAAATTTTAAAAAAATCAGAGCAAGCTCACCCGCCCCCCTCCTGTTTTTGCTTGCCTCTGATGGAAACTGAATTAAGATTTTAGGAACCTGGACCTTTGAGAACATGACACTAACAGGTGGTGATCACAGAGGATAGGTACAAAGGTCTTGAAGCTTGCTTAGAGCTTTGTTACGTGGTGGCACACAAATCATGACTTGCTGTACCATCACTGGCAAACCTCATCATATCAGATGGGTGTGAGTGTCTAAGTGTGCGAGTGCTAGTATGTGTGTATGCACACCTTTGTGTACCTGTGTACATGTGATTGTAGATGTACCTGTTGTGTGTAACTGTTAAAAAAATTGCTTCGCATTTAATGTGCAACTTTGAAGTAGTGAATATTTACCTAAAGCTTCTTGCCACTCGGTTTTAATGTCTTTGAACGTGTACTTCTATCTTTGAGCAGGCTTAGAGTACATGTTGCTAAACTAACTTTTCTGAAAAACCGAGTTGACTTCTTCTATTATTTTTCCTTGCCTACCAACCAAAGGGATGGGGGGGCTCTTTTTCTTCCCCTTGTGAATGATTGGTGCTGAGGAGAGGATGTGGCGACAGTACCAGTCACTACTCTAGTTACTGGTCACTGTTAGGGCATCCACTTCATCAGTCCTTCAGACTCTTCTCTTTTTCCAACCTAATCAACTAATGCGGTGTGGCTTTTGATCGTTACAACAGTGCACTCTTTAGGCAGCCTTTTTTCAAGCCTTCGGTCACCATTTTAATTTCACGAAGTCGTCATAATCGTTCAGAATTGTGGAAAGAAAAGATTATTTGGGGGAAACTGCTATATCACTTTATTTGCATATTAGGTTCGGGGCTGCCAGCAGACAGGGTATAGCACAGATGTAACATGTGCTGAATAAATGGGGAACGTCATACACAACAGTACATATAAATAGTAACAGGTACAAATAGTCACAGGTACAGCATAACAAATATGCAATCTTTTGACACTACTTCTTAGTTTACAGACACAACTAATTCAGTATTGTGCTGGAAGAATCTTTTTAGAATATGTGTACCAACATATCACTTACCTTCCAGCTACCAGTTTATGCTGCTGTTAAGAAAAACCAATGATGGAACGATGTTTTTGTGACCTCTACATTTAATTTGGTATCAAACATAGTCACTTGGTCAGTAATATTGAAAACTTTACAGTTCCAACAGTTCATTACATTTGTTATTTCTGCTTCAGAGATCTGCTTTGAGTTGCTCTGGCTTTGTCTTCCTTTGTAAATACTCTTATACTCTCTTTTCTTTGTAAACATCTCCTTTGCGGTTTTGGGGAGACAACCTTGCAACTCTGTATAGTGTTTATATATATATCTGACTTGCCTTTCCATAGAGCTACTCGCAATAAATGTGTTGAAAGTTATTTGTGTGGAGACTCATTTTTTCTTAATATTTGTCTTTACTCCATTAGAACTAATATTTTTCTGCTTTGTGGTAGAAGGGACTGTATCTTTTCATAGTAAAGCAGTGGGATAATTTAGGGTATGTTTACCATTAAATATGCCTAGAAATATATAGCTCTTAATATACAAATATGGACATGATATTAGTAGAATTGACCTGAGCATTTGGGTATTCATGATAATGTGTGAATCATATTGCAGTGACTACTCAAGGAGGTTAAGGTAATTGTAACTGTTTTCTTTTGTCTCCTTCTCTTGCCACTTAACTCTTATCCTTTAAATCACTCCGTTTTCATTGACCTATTTTTAACCACTGGAAAGGCAAATATGGATATATGGATATATGGAAAGGCAAATATGGATATATGGAAAATATACCAGTGAACAGATAAAAAATATTTTGCATTGGTGGAAAATAGAGGGATAGGTGGATTGAATATCAAGAATGTATTAGCAAATTATATTTTCAACCTTACCAGAAACCAAAGTTTAAAAGGAACATTAAAAAAAAAATTACCTCCTTGATTCTTTTTTTAAAAGATATATTTTTATTTATTTATGCATACAAGAATGGGGGTGCAGGCCAGAGGTGCCAGAGGGTGAGAGGGTTCACCAGAGACAAAGTGGGGAGCAGTACAGGCAGATCAACTCAAATACACTGCTGAGGGGAACAGCAGGCAACACAGGAGAGGTCTGCTGCACCATGTGGGTCAGCTCCTTGGCCGGGTTTCTAACTCACGCTGCAGTGGGCTCCTACAGCTAGCTAGTGTTGAGACAACCCCTTGCACCAACAGGGAGGCCCCCTCCCTGATTCTTTTACCAAATCATCCTTGCTACACAAGAGGGTAGTGACATTAAATAAGACTTTGGGACCAAGGGTCAGTGAAGGGGAAGAGGTCTGTGGAATCAGATGGGCCACAAGGTAGGGAGGGAATTCCAATATCGCGCATAATCCAAACGCAACATGGATTGTATATTCGCGGACAATTGAGTTCATTGTGCAGCTTGACCTCACCTGATACACCTGAAAAAGTTGTGTGAAAAAGAATATCACTACGGAAAGGTGGAATGAGACTATCTTTATCATCAGAAATTATCCACAACAGAGATCATTTAGCCTCTGTGTAATTAAAGTGTGTGCATGTGTATTTAAGAACTCTTAATTCTCACTTAAAGGGAGATAATCTCTATTTGTGAGGGCACAACCCAAAGAAATTTTACTCATACCAAACAGCCCAATCTACTTATCAATATACATGATATTTTCTATACTCATTTTGGTGATTCATATATTAATGTGACTTAAATTCCTGGAACAGCAGGCATTGTCAGTATGGCTGCTTTGGCAATCAGAACTATCTGGGAAGATCCATATTGGAGAATGCATGAACAGCACTTCAGCTTTTGTATCTCCTAGTCTCATACATGGTTACCACGTACTCACTGCAGAATGTGAAGGAGTACTGTTTCTTTAAAGCATAAAACCTGTTCAGAAGACTTGTCAGGTAAAACATGCCTAAGTACACACTAGTTAAGCACCTCAAGTGACTGCTTAGAAAAATATTACTAGGTGCTAATTGACTCCAAAGGGCATCTTGGAAATGCACCAAAATTTTTTTTTTTAATGTTTTGAAAACAAAACTGCCCAAAGGCAGAACCTGGAAAATGTGACTATGAAAATTTGTATGGACAAGCCAGATCATGTTCTCTAGTTTATAAATGTACAAAAGAGAAATTATGCAAAATTAAAGCACAGAATGAGGTTGAACTGTATTCTGTTTTGGAAAACCAATTCATTTTCCCTCCAACACATGCATGTTAATAGATGCTGGTTTTTAGGCAGCTACCTTAAGTCCCAGTTTGCTGCTTAAGCGAACTTCAGAAAGAAGGAGTGCCACTGAGCTGCACAAAATGAGACGACTTCCCTCCTGTCTCTTGTGCATGATAAATGCTAAAGCAATTAGGAACCACTGTTCCATGCTACTTTGGAATTTGTCAGTAACATCAGTGCTGTGCTATATAAATGGGGGACACTTATTTAGAATAAAGTCCTGGAATTTAGGAAATCACTGATTTAACTTGATATTAAACATTTGGGTTCATAAAACTGAACTAGAAGCAATTCCCCTCCTTGATTTTTCAATCTCAGAATATCCATTATAGGGTCTTCTATTTCATAGGAAGTCATTTGAATTAGGATTTCAGTTACAAAAAGGAGCACAGAAATATGGAAATGGGAAACGGATTTTTAAGTGTCTACAGAAAAATGTGAAACATGCAGTTCATTCTGTGTATACACATACACATAACCCATAAGAAGGTTTTCAATATTTTTGCATTTTCTGTACCATTTTCAGGAAATTGAGTGCATGTAGGAAATTTTAAATATACCCATATTTAATTTTTGTTATTGTTTCATATTGCTTTCTCAACAGCAGTTTCAGGACCACATACACATGACCTTGCTTTTTTGTTCTTTTTTTTTCTCTTTATATTAAGATTATCTCATTCCAGGAAGATCAGGTGGTATTGGTGGTTGTACTTAGTGCTTAGAAATTATAGCTAAATATAGCACATTGCACAGTAGATATAACTCATGTTAGATATCGATAATGCAAACCCTCCCGCCTTTTTTTTTGCAAGACTACCATGCCTTTTTCTAGGGGCATGACAATGCAACTAGGTCAATATTTTAGTTGTGAAGGATTCCACTTTGGTTTCTTAATACCTTAGGAAACTATAGCCACCTCTTGGTTTGTGTAGAGTTGATATTCTGGAATTGGACTACAACACATCTTAGATATGGTGTAGATGAGGCCCTACCACTCTTTCAAGTACTCTATTCTGCTGCTTCTCTCCCTTGGAGAAGTTATTTTAATTATATTTACTAGATATTAAAGTCCTCATAATAACTTTAGGAAGAGAATAGTGTGAAATGAATGGAAAGATTTCTTCTTTGTTTAGAGTTTAATGACTCATGATACTCCACAGAAAATGAGTGCTATCATATAGGATTTTTAAAGGAAGATTTTCTCTCCTCCCTCCCTGGTTTGACACTTCACACCCTTATCAAAAAATGTCTTCATTACATCTATGGTGCTCACAATATATCACTTTGTGAATCCAGAGACTAAAACCTATTTTTATATTTTCTTTACTTCTGATAAAGCAAAGCCCTATCTTGGTAGAATTAATAAAAAAGTTATCTGACTTCAATTGCTAAATTACAACTGAAACAAAAGACAAGGCTATGCTCATACAAACATTCATATCATATGACACACAGCAGAGGTCTCTACATTTAAGGCCCTACATGTTACAGAGTAAATGAAATTCTTTAAAATGATCTTGATCTGATGTAGTGAACACGTAACCTGTGCTGGCATGAAGTAAGTAATGAGATATATAAGACTTCCGGTTCTGGCCAACATACATCAGATTTATCCTCCCACATGAACAGGCTCCGCTCCTCTCCAAACAAAATCACTCAAAAAATGAAACAAGGGCTTTCAACACACTAGTCATTAAGAAATAAAGGGCAATGATCTGTAAGAGGCGAGAAACAAACTTGGTAAGCCCCACAGTTACCCTCTCTTACAACTTTAAGAGCAATTTCGGGCCATGGTACAGGGTCAGGATTTTCTAACATGAAGCTCAGACATGAAGCTCAGATTTAGGTTACAAGGAAACCGAAGTGGTTAGAACTCACAGGATAGAGTACTGGAATGGAGCAAGTGTCACAGACAGAATTCCAAAGATCTTTAGAGTGTCATCCGTGAGTATTCAGTAGAACACCAAAATCCCATGCATGTAAGGAAATTATCTCAGACCAGAGAAAGAACCACCTGAAAGGAATAGAGGTAAAAGTGCTTGGCATTTTATACAGAAAGAGGGCTCAGAAAGGGTACATGTTTCCATAAGTCAAAATGGAAAACCTCAAGATTCATGGGACATTAGATAAGGTACTCAGAGGAATCTTATCTCACTATTAAGGAAAATTTAGCTTTAGATTGAGCACTGTTCCACACACACCTAACAAATCTTCCAATATCTGAAAGAAATGAACAACCTCAAGGCATTTTAACTGTGTTCCAGAGTAAAGCTAAAGAATATTTATAGGATTATAAACTATTTGACACACAATAAAGTAAAATCACAATGTATAGCATCATGCAAGCCAATAGAAAAAAAAATGATCTATAATGAAGAGAAAAAAATCAATGAAACCTAGCCACAAATGATACAGATGACACAATTACTAGACAAGGTCACTGAGAGTTATTATAACTATATTCCATATATTAAAAGAATAAAAATATATAAATAACACAATTGGAACTGCTTACAATGAAAACTACAATTTTTGAGATTAACAAAACTGCATGGTATTGGAACCAGAACAGACACATGGACTAATGGAACCGAGTAGAAAACCCAGAAATAAACCCACAGATCTATGGTCAACTAATCTTTGACAAAGGAGCAAAGAATATGCAATGGAGCAAAGAAAGTTTGTTCAATAAATGGTGCTGGGAAACCTGGGTCACTACACGCAAAAAAATGAAGCTTGACTACTACCTCACACCATGCACAAAAACCAACTCAAAATGGATTAAAGAACTAGACACAAGACCTGAAACCATAAAATATATAGAAGGAAATATAGGCGAAACACTACATGACATGCTTCTGCACAGAAAAAGAGACAATAACCAAAACAGAGAGAAACCCCACCAACTGGGAGAAAATTTTTGCACACCACACTAACGATAAAGGACTGATCACAAAAATCTACAAAGAGCTGATGAGACTCAACAAAAACAAAGAAATTAATCCAGTCAGAAAATGGGCAGAAGAGCTAAAAAGAAACTTCCCCAAAGAGGAAATGCAAATGGCCAACAGGCATATGAAAACATGTTCAACGTCACTTGTAATCAGGGAAATGCA